GAAACTTCTCTAAACCTAAGAGAATAGGAAACTACAATATACATTCACCAATACACCCCCTCAAGTTGGAGCATGAAGATCACATATGCCCAACTTGCGACTAAGATACATAAACAATGAGGAACCAAGCGCCTTAGTGAAGATATCTGCAGGCTGTTCAGATGTATGAATCTTAGCAGTTTGCAGTGAACCATTTTGAATCTCATCCCGAACATAGTAACAATCAGTTTCAACATTCTTAGTCCGTTCATGAAAAACGGGATTGTTTGCAATGTAAAGAGCTGACTGATTATCACAGTAAAGACGCATTGGCTCTGTTTGTTGAACTCCAAAACAAGACAACAACTCACGATCCCACTTCAGTTCGTTAGTAGTGTCTGCCATGGAGCGATATTCTGCTTCCGTCGAAGAACGCGACACAACTCGTTGTTTCTTCGTCTTCCAATTGATTGGAGAATCGCCTAACATTTCAGCAAAGCCTGTCAATGATCTTCTAGTCACAGGACAAGCTGCATAATCTGAATCACAGTAGGCTGTCAAACGTAAATCACTTTGAGAAGAGATTAAAATTCCTTGACCAGGACATCCCTTGAGATAACGTACAACTCATAGTGCTCCAAACCAATGTTTTTTCTCAGGTTTATGCATAAATTGGGCAAGCACGTGAACAACATAGGACAACTCTGGTCGCGTTGTCGTCAGATAAACCAAACGACCTATAAGTCTGCGATATCTTTCTGGATCTTCATAATAATCATCACCACGCCGCAACAGTTGATGATGCTCTTCGATAGGTGTTGTTACTGTTCGTCCTCCAAGCAATCCACATTCATTGATTATATCAAGGACATATTTTCGTTGAGACAAGTAGAATCCTTTATCTGATCGCGCTACTTCAATACCAAGAAAATACTTCAAAAGACCCAAGTCTTTCATATGAAAACATTCTCCCAAATAACCTTTAAAGCGATCAACAGCTTCAGCATCATCATCACCAATAATTAAGTCATCCACATACACCAACACATACAAGCGACTAGCTCCTCGAGTTAACATAAACAAAGAGGAATTAGAGTGAGATTGTTTGAAACCATACCCACAAAGAGCAGCCGTAAGTTTTGAAAACCAGCATCGAGGAGCTTGTTTCAAACCGTACAAAGCTTTCTTAAGTTTGCAGACCTTGTTGCTTCCGGCTGACTTAAACCCTGGTGGGAGTCGCATATAAACTTCTTCTTCCAAATCTCCATGAAGAAAAACATTGTTGACATCCATTTGATGAACAACCCACTGTTTTGCTGCCGCCACTTTTAGAAACATACGTATCGTGGTCATCTTAACCACGTGAGCAAAAGTTTCATCATAGTCTACATCTTCCGTTTGTCGATTTCCAAGTGAAACCAACCTAGCTTTGTGGCGCTCAATTGTACCATCCGAATTGAATTTAAGTTTATAAATCCAATTACAACCAATTGCCATCTTTCCTGGTGGGAGATCTACAATTTCCCATGTGTCGTTAATCTCCAAAGCATCAATTTCTTTAACCATAGCGTCGACCCAAACTTTGATTTTAACAGCTTCTCCATAGTTCTTTGGCTCATCATTTGCTGTCACTGCAGCCATAAATACTCTATGTCCATCTGAAAAAAGGTTACATCCTACATAGTTTGCAATAGGATATAGAACCGTACCTGAAGAAGAATCTGAAGGTGTTGAGGAGAGATGTGGGGGGGTCATTGGAGCATTGAGCAGTATACAACACAAAATCACGAAGTTTTGTTGACTTAACCTTTTCTCTAAGTCCTCGACCCAATTCTACTTCTAGTTCGACTCCAGGCTGCGGATTTTCAACAACATCCCTGATAGGTGATTCATTAATAGCATTCTCCTCTTCTGGAGGTGATGGTAAACTCCCCCTGTCGCTAATAGGCACAATCTCATCATTATCAACAAACGGAGAAGGTACATCAAAAATTTGTTGTGACTGAGGAGTCTCAACCATTGCAAGCGGGAAAACATCTTCGTGAAACACTACGTCCCTCGAGACAAAGAATTCACCAGTGTCGAGATCATACAAATACCATCCTTTCTTTCCATACGGATATCCCATGAAAGCACACTTACGGCTACGTTCTGCAAACTTGTCTTTATCCCGAAGCTGTTTGTGTGCATAACAAAGACATCCAAACACTCTCAAGCTATCAAGATCTGGAGGCGCCCCAAAGAGGAGCTCGTATGGTGTTTTGCCACCTAACAAAGGTGTTGGTGTTCTATTAATAAGATGACACGCCGACAGAACACATTCGCCCCAAAACTTGATTGGAACTTTAGCTTGAAACATTAGAGCTCTAGCCACGTTAAGTATGTGACGGTGTTTCCTCTCAACACGTCCATTTTGTTGTGGTGTTCCTACACAAGACGTTTGATGTATAATACCTTCCTTTGCAAAGTAGGATTTCATGCATGTAAATTCTGTCCCATTATCACTTCTCACCATTTTTACTTGCTTCTCAAACTGTCTTTCGACCATGGCAAAAAAATTCTGCAATGTCAACGCAACTTCCCTTTTTTCAACCAACAAGAATACCCAAACTGCACGTGAGTAGTCATCAACAATCGTTAAAAAATAAACTGCACCAGAGGAGGAAGGAGTCCGGTATCCACCCCACACATCACAATGAATCAAATCAAAAATACCAGCAGCTTTATTATCACTTTCATGAAAAGAATCTCGAGTCTGTTTTGCTCTAAAACAAACGTCACAAACCGCATCATTCTCGGCAGACTTAACAGTACAAATAGAATAAGGTAAATGAGACAAGACTCTATCAGACGGATGACCAAGTCTTCTATGCCAAACATCTTTGGAAATACTACTAGTTGCTGCTGCTTTATGAGCTCTCCCTCCTAGAGCTCCGCGAAAAACATGGACCCCACCACATTCTTCACCCGCACCAATCAGAGTCTTCTTGGTATGGTCCTGCAAAACACACAAGTCAGCTGTGAACGTAATAGATGAACCCTTTATGGCTTTGAGTAATTTTGCCACAGAAATTAAAGAACACTTCAAATCTGGAGCATATAATACTCCTTTCAACCACATATCACCAGCCAAGTAAAGATCACCCATCCGGTAAACCAATAGAACACGGCACAATATCAACCACATTAGACAACAAGTTTAAATCCCAAGTCATATGGTGTGATGCACCTGTGTCTATTATAAATTCCACCGTGTCACTCTTACCACTCAGTTTCTCAACATTGTTAGGCTTTGGTGTGTTGAGGAAGCTGATCAAGGCCGTCCATTGTTCATCACTAAGCTGCGGGAGAGACTGTCTGTCGTAATCTCCTTCACGTCTTGTTGCATTTGCTGTCACTGTGCTTGGAATCACCTGTGCAGCATTTGCAGTTACTTGTCGATCACTATGATTTCCTCTGCCTCTGCCTCGACCATAGCTACCAGCTATTCCACCTCCACGACCTCTGCCGCGAGTGCTTCCTCTAACTCCGCCACCTCTGCCTCTTTCACCCCAATAGTCTGGATATCCATTTATCTGATAGCAATCAGAGATCTCATGCCCTGTTTTTCCACAATGAGTGCAGCGAACTATCTCCATCTCTTTATTATAGCCAGTCTGAAATCGAGATCGATTATCAGCATGAACAGCAAAGCCAACAGCCTCTGTACGTTCCTCTGTGTTTCGCACAATCATCTGTTGGCGTTCTTCTCGAACAATTCGTTGATACACTTGCGACAATTTGGGAATTGGTTCAAAACTAGTGATATTAGAACGCAGAGTCCCAAACTTCGCATTGTCTAGTCCCATGAGAAACTGTGATGTTCTCTCTTCATCTTGATCTTGCTGTAATGATGTTGTCAATTCCCCACAGCGACAAGAGCGTAGGGGTTTATAAACGGCTAACTCATCCCACATCTTCTTCAATCTCCCATAATACACTACAACAGAATCTCCATTCTGTTTGCAGCATGCTATGTCGGTTCTTAATTCATGAACCCGAGCTGCATTACCTGCAGAAAACTGCATCTTCAAATCCTCCCAAAGAACGTAAGCATCCTCGACCATTGTCACTGAGGCACGAAGAGTTGGTTCTATTGTATTCATGATCCATGCCACCAACATTGAATTCACCACTTCCCATTGTTCTATGTCGGCAGCTGATTTTGGTTTCTTGTGAGTTCCATCGATGAATCCGAGCTTCCGCTTTGTACGCATTCCGCACATGCTTTGACCAGTCTTCATAGTTTTCTCCTTTGAGTTGGACTGTCGTAATCAGGTTTCCAGGGCCTTCCGAGGCGTGAAGATAATATGGTGACAACTGTGCTTCCGCATCAGTTCCTGCACGAACAACAGCCTTCTCTGTCATGTCTTCTTGTTCGTTCTTTGATTGCTAAGCTTTTGTGTTTAGGGTTTTTTTTTTTTAGGGTTTTCTGCCATTGATTGGCTCTGCTACCATGATAATGTGAAAATCCCTTGTATTACATATGAGATTACAATCGATATATATACAAGTCTCTACACAATAGATAAGGAAACTTCTCTAAACCTAAGAGAATAGGAAACTACAATATACATTCACCAATAGAAATAACAGTGTTTTCTTGTACTGGCATGGTTAAATCTTAAATTAATATCTCTCACCTTGTTGCATTCTAGAATCTCTAAGTTGGACATTTAGAAAATCGCTTTTGAGAACATGTTTTTGAGTGTTGAATCAACCTGTTTTCAAACCTCATCTCTTTCTTGTTCTATTTGTTTGCTTGAGGGCAAGCAAAGGTCAAGTTTGGGGGTGTTGATGTACTTGCATTTTGCATGGTTTTAGTACATCTTTTATGCATCTTTTGCATAGTTTTAGCATCCATTAGCATCATATCTTGTTCCTTTTCTCTTCTTATGCATTCATAGTAGTTTTAGGTTGCATTTGCATACATATGCATGTTTGGTCCTTTGAAATAGGTCTTTTGGAGCATTCTGGAGCATATGGGACGTGAGGAGCATGGAAGGACTTGGCGCATGGACGCAGCTCAACTGGATACGCAAAGGAAGAAGGAGGAAGCCATCTTGAAGACCAGCTCGACCATCTACTCGACCAACCGGTCGAGTTCCTCAACTCGACCGGCCAAGCTTCAACTCGATCGAGCTGAGAAGTCAACAGTCAAACCCGAAAAATGTTGCTTCCCCCTTGACTTCCTTTGACCCTAAACCTAATCCTCTTTGTATTTAAGGGCTAAAAGCCACGAAAAAACCACCAAGCTTTAGATTACTTTTTGTTTTAGTTTCTTTTAATTTTTGTCTTTTACTTTTAGAGACTCTAATCCCATCTTTGTGTTCTTGAAGCTCTTGCTTCTTGAATCCTAGATCCTGGATAATCTCTTTTGTATTTGCACTTGCTTATTTCAATAAAAGTTGTTTATTTTATCTCCTCTTTCTTATGATGTTTTTTCATTGCATTTGCTTGTGTTTACATTCATGTGTAGTGAGTAGTTACCCATTAGGGTTTGAGATGGGATAGATTAGGGGTTTCATATGCTTAATCCTTCTTGCTTATGGTCTTAATCTAGATTCTCTCTCTTTTGGATAAATCTTAAGGCTACATGACCACTACCCCTGGCTTGTATGTCATTAGGCGATTCTCCACATGGAAGTGATGGAAATCGCTGGAAAATATCCACTAAGAGCTCCAATAACTCTTGCTCTCGAAATGGATTTCAAGGGGTTGGATGGATTAGTTTGGGCAATGATCCTATGGCCTCCAAGGTCTGATTCTCACTGGCTAACCCCCTGTTTCTGAGATCATTCCTTGGTTGATAGCCTCCACCTTGGGAAAGGGTTGGCTAGGCATTGAGAAGCCCAATATCAAGAGAAGCCTTGATACAAGGAGTTTTAAGAGCAAGATGATTAAGTGTAGTTCCCTAGTTGCAAAACCCTGTCTTGAACCCTAATTCTCGCATTAGCTTGTTAAAGTCGCTGCCTTTATTGCTTTTTACTCAACTCGACCCTAAACTCGATCGAGCTCGGTACTCTGTTCCAACTCGACTCGAGTCCTTGGTCGAGCTGTTGCTCTACTGCTTTATTTCTATTTCTGCATTGCATTTCATTTTTAGGTTGTTAGTGTTACCCTTCAATCTTTACTGCTTGCTTGACTTCCTGGTTGTTTCATATTCTCATAGAGTAACAAGTTCTCCCATTTTGGATTGATAACCCTTTATGCTATAATGACTATCATGGTTAAAGGGAATTGTTGACTGTGTTTGTGTTTGCATCTTACCACCTCATCATATACCACTGTTGCATTCCACCACATCTCATTTCATATCATTTCACATCCACACACAAATCCTATCATCATCTAGACACTATAAACACAGTAAAACCTGCCAAAAACCATTAGAAAACAATGCTAAAACAATATAAAAAGCATGTAAAATAGAGGTATATCAACTCCCCCAGACTTAGATCATTGCTTGTCCTCAAGCAAAAAGAATCTAAATCCGTGAAAGAGGTTTGAAAACGTGGAAACTCCCTTGCTCTTTTGAATATCCTGTGAAAGGTTCATTTCCTGTATTCCACTAAGAACATAGGCAACATAAGGTTAGCTTCACATACACCCTGCAAGTTTAGCGAACAATACCAACCCAACTAGTCTCATCCAGCAATCCAAACTCTCTATTGCTAACCTCTTGCATTAGTAACACAATAAAACTCCCCCCAGACTTAACTTGCACCGTCCCGGTGAAAGCAAATCACATTAAGGTGAGAGGTAATATTCAAAGTAAAAGAAAAATAAAGAGAAATTCATTAAAATGAGATAGGGATAGAAAATGGAGATTTGTAAGTGTCCATTGCACTAAGTACCACTTGAGATGACTATGTGTGGCAGTGAGAAGAACTCTCTTCCTCATCTATGGGGTCATCGCCTTCTGAACCAAGCTCTGAGTCTAGTGAGAACTCACCAAGGTCAGGCTCATATGGCTCTCTAGCGGTGGAAGAAGGGCGAAAGAGTCTCTCCGGTGCAATGTGGCGAACTACACGAACTAGGCGTGAGATGAAGCGAGATTGGCATTCCACGATCTTCTCCAGCTTGTTCACACGGTCTAGAGCTTGTGCGGCCATGCCAGTAGTGAGAACATGGCGTTCTTGGTGGCGGCGTTGAGTCTTGACTGCATGCTGAAGTGTGCGATAGGTGAGCATGGGGAATGATGGTTTCTCACTTGATGGAACATAGAAGTCTTCCTCCTTGGGCTGGAAAGTGACAACACCTGAGCGTAGGCTTGGGATATCTTCATGTGGCAGCAAGACAAGGGAAGTGTTGGCTGGACCAATTGGAAACTCATAGCAAAACCGAGTTGGGTTTTAGTCCAACGGTTTAGGAAGTGGATGTGCTGAAGGGCATGGAGATCCAAAGGGGTTGGCTTGGGTAGTGGCTCATAGTTGGGAATGTCAATCCCCACATGTTGTACTATGGCCGTGATAAGCCTCCCAAAACGAACACAAAGCTTCTTGTTGCCTTCCAAGTCTTGAGCTAGCTTCCTCACATTGATAAATGTCTTGGCAAGTAAAAGGCCAAGGTTGGCCTTGTACTCATGCTTGATGAATGGTGTGGTGAGGATGTAGAACTCATCGGTTGTGACCTTGTTGGCTTCTTGTTTGCATTGGAAAGTGGTGGAGATGAGGCGGTGCACATAGCGAATGGCTGGATGAGTGATTCTAGACACCTTTGATCTTGAAGGCAAGAATGGTTCATTGGCAAAGTGTGTCCAATCAGCAAAGGCAGCTTGTTTCCTCTTTGAGTTCTCCTTGAAGTCATGTGCTGTCTCATTGGGAAGTCCAAAGAGTTGGCATAGAGCTGAGATGGAGATGCGCCCATTGGCATCGCCTATCTTGAAGAGTAGGAGTCCATCACCAGCTGGTTGGTCTCCATTGTGGTTGGGAAAGGCAAGAGCTACTGTGGAGAGGAACTCCTTGGTGAGTTGTGAGTACTCACTACATTCTAGCTTGAAGAGCTTGCTCAAGCCTAGCTTCCTTATGTACCATGTGACATCATCTCTTATCTTGAGAAGGTCAAGGGTTTGGGTGTCCATCTTCACACAAGGTTCGATGTTCACCTTCTCCATTGCCTTCTTGCACTTTCTTGGGTCTTGGATTTGTTCTCCAACAAAGTTACAAGTGCCCAATCATCTTCTCCTTCTTGGACTCTCCACATGTTCTTGATTGCATCAATGGAATGTGGTGAAGTTGGTATTGCTGCTCTTGCATTGGAGCTACTACTCCCTAGCTTGATTTGTTTCTTTGGTGGTTCCATGAATGGGTTCTTCTTCTTCTTCATACTCTCATTTCCTTTTGTCTTTGCCATTGGGTACCTACAAGAGCAAATTCTTGGGAAAGATATGAGTTTGTGATTAATGCAAAAGAAGAATAAGCTAATTGAGTTGTAATAATGATATGGTATAAGGAACAACTCAAGGCTTAATCATGAATCAAAGAAACAAAATGGAAATTTCACTTTTTCAAAGTTAATTTTCGGATTTTACTGTTCATCTCAAGATTATGGTGCTTAAAATCAAAATTTTAGCAAATCAAGAGAAATTGAGTTTCTAATCCAAGTAATCACTAGATAAACTAATGAATTGAAGTATGCTAAGCAATTTCACCTTTGAATAAGGGGTTTGGAATGCCCAATAAGTTTTGTGAAAAACTATTCAATTGTGAAATTAAACTTCAAATAACTCTAAACCACCTAGGTTCCACCTAGCTAAGTTCATTACAAGACTAATAAGATGGCAATTTCAAGTTTAGACAAGAGTTTAGACCAAACAAGAAACTTATTGAAAATTTCGATCTTGCATAAACATGGGATTAGAGTTAAAGACATACCTTGTGTATTGAAAAGTGAATAATGGTTGCAAGAGCAAGTAAATTCCAATTTAGAGTTATGAACAGTAAAAGTTTTGAAATCAAAGCTCTTAGAGTTCCTCTAATGGAGTTTAGGGTTTTGGAGAAGAAAGAGAGG